TTCTTTCTTTCTTTCTTTCTTTCTTTCTTTCTTTCTTTCTTTCTTTCTTTCTTTCTTTCTTTCTTTCTTTCTTTCTTTCCAGTCCTGGGGCTTGAACTCAGGGCCTGGGAACTGTCCCTAGGCTTCTTTTGCTCAAGGCTAGCACTCTACCACTTGAACCAGAGCACCATTTCTGGCTTTTTCTGTTTATGTGGTACTGAGGAATTGAACCCAGGGCTTCATGAATGCTAAGCAAGTACTGTACTACTAAGTCACATTCCCCAGCCCTGCTCTTCTACCTCTCTTTGCCTCAGTTTTTCACGTGTAAAACTGAGAGTGTTAACTATTACTTCCTCATCTTTAATGAGATTTATTTTTTATTTATTTATTTTTTGGTCTGGTCATGGGGCCTGAACTCTGGGTCTGGGTGCTGTCCCTCAGCTCTTCAGCTCAAGGCTATAGTGCTCTACCACTTGAGCCACAGCGCCACTTCCGGTTTTTTTCTTTTTGCTTATGTGGAATCGAACCTAGGGCCTCAGGCATGCACTGCAGGCGCTCTACCACTGAGCCACCTTCCCAGCCCCTTTTAATGAGATTTAAATGATACATACAAAGCAAGTTAGCTCAGTGCCTGGTCCACAGTAACATCTTGATGAATTTTTGTTGTTATTGCTAATATTCTTAGCAATTTGATTAGAAGTAGATTTAAAAACATTAAGAGACTACATAGTAATCCAGGATATGGAATGTGCTAATTTTTCACTGCATCTTAGAGCATATTAAGATATATTAGCGTAAACTTGTTGTATGATCCATAAGATTAAGGTTTTTTTCCCCTGTCCTGGGTCTTGAACTCTGCGCATGGGTGCTGTTGCTAAGCTTTTTTTTTTTTTTGGTCAATTATGGGGCTTGAACTTTGGGCCTGTGCACTGCCCCTGAGCTTAAGGCAAGCACTCTACCTCTTGAGCCTCAGCACCACTTCTGGTTTTCTGGTGGCTAATTGGAGATAAGAGTCTCACAGACTTTCCTGCCGAGGCTGGCTTTGAACTGTGATCCTCAGATCTCAGTCTCCTGACTAGCTAGCATTACAGGCATGAGCCACGGGGCGCCCAGCCTCCTAAGCAACTTTTGCTCAAGACTAGCATTCTACTACTTGAGCTACAGCACCACTTTCAGCTTTTTCTATGATTAACTAGAGATCAGAGTCTCATGGACTTTCCTACCAGGCTGGCTTTGAACCTTGATCCTCAGATTTCAACCTCCTAAGTAGCTAGGATTATAGGCATGAGCCACCAGCACCGGGCTTAGATTAAGGTTTTGAATTTGTTCATTGTGTTCCCAGTTTAATTAAGTTTGTCCATTACATAGTGGTACTCAGTAAATGTTTGTTAAATGAATGCTTCCAAAGCCAAGCTCTTACCTGCTTTTGTGGCTTTGCACATGCATACTACTGTGTATGTTCTCCTTAAACTGCTCAGAGTTCCTTTATATTCTCTCCCTCTTTCTCCCCCCGCCTTGCTGGTCCTGGGGTTTGAACTCAGGGGCTGGGTGCTATCCCTAAGCCTTGTTCAAGGCTAGTGCTCTACCACTTGAGCCACAGTTCCACTTCTGGCTTTTCAGTTGTTAGTTAGAGCTAAGAGTCTCATGGGCTTTACTGCTTGTTCTGGCTTCAAACTGTGATCCTTATCTCTCAGCCTCCAGATGATTATAGATGTAAGCCACCAGCACCTGGCTCCTTCATTCTTTAGGACTCTTCTAAAACTTCTTAGTACCACTTCCTACCCTCACTTAGGTCAGGCTCTGTATTTCTCTCCAGACTCCCAATCTTTTTCTTTGCAATAGTCTTTAAAATTCACAATTATACATCCATTTGTCCATACGTGTTCAATCTCTGACTCTTACAACTGACCATAAACTTGCAAGTGGCGGGGGAGGAAGAGGGGGGGAGAATCAGCCATATTTACTGATTCTCAGCCCCTCAATGATGCCTGGCAAGCAGCAAGCATTGAGTCTGTTCTGGTTGAATGCTCCTGCAGGATCTAAAAGAGGAAAACTTGGACTGAGTCAGTTGGGACAGAGTTTCTGCTCATCTGTAAAATTAAGATGAAGACAATACTGCTTAACCCCTTACTCTCCTTGACCAAATAATGGCTGAGATCCAACAAGATCATTTTGTTAAACTGTGTTGTAGCCTAATGGACAGATATTCATTATCCATTCATTTATTTACTTGTTCCTTTCTCCTCTATGTCTATCTCTAGTGCTTTATACCAGGCTGGAATATGGTGTGTATATGAGGAAGGACCAAACAAATGATGGCATCCATTAGGTGGCTGTCTTGAATGGGTTAAATTTATAAGGGAAGAAAGGACTGGGAAAGAAAGAGAAAGGCATTTAAATTTGGGCTGTTTGTTATACGTAGCTTTTGTTCTGTTCACTCCTTGTATTCTGTGGAAGAAGAATTTGAACTATTCCTGTGTGATATGCTTTAGGCCATGTTCTTGTCAAGGGTTCACATTAGCTTCCTACTTTGCTGATGGTGCCCACTCTTGCTAGCTAGAAATAACGTGGGACTCATTTTGCAGTGTAGCCACTGGAAGGTTTGTTGCCTTCCCTTCCCAGTACTGCTCCTCTCCCTGGGTATCCTCTGGCTGGCCTCACACACCAGGGAGCCCTAAACATTCTGGCTTACTTTATGGTTTTTAGTGCAGCTGATCATTAATATCACCCTCTTGTCCCCTTCTGAGTTTCATGGCCAGGAGGTCAAGGCTCCTCCAAAGAAAACTGGCTAATTATATCTCTGTCTGAATAAAATCACACAAGGGGAGCAAAGCAGTGGCATATAAATGAAGGGTAGGAGCAGGAACCACTGCTGTTTGAGGATTTGTTTCCTTTCAGCTGAGCCTCCCTGATTTGAGCGAAACAAGCAGCCACCCTCATTCAGTATGTTGGATTTTGGCGCTGCCAGTGGAGTGATAGGGAAGCAGCAGAACAAAGGAAAACAGGAGAGAAACTGGATGCTGGTTAGAGATTTAACACCAGAGCTGGAGGAGACCTGTCTCCAAGTGGCAGAGTTGTTGGCTGAATTCCCAAAGCATTTTCTTCTCTGCAGGCTTTGCTTTCCTCCTAGGTTTCCTTTCCTTCTTTGCTCCTGCTTCTGCTCCCTTATTTTCCTTCCTCATGTGAAATGACATATTTATACTCTTTATTTAAACGCATGAATAAAAATGCCTTTCTAACAAGATAATCAGAATATGAAAGGCCAAACTTTTAGAAAGTACTTACCAATGTTTTGTTTTTTTTTCTTTAACTAGTTCAGCATATTAGCTTTTTTTTTTTTTTGCTTTTGGGGTAAAGGACTCCCTAAAATGGGACTGGGGAACACTAATTCCAGGAGTGTCTATCCACAGACTGACGCTGAGAAGCACTCACAGGTGGAGAGGAATTCCCTGTGGTCTGGTGATGACATCAAGAAATCAGATGGAGGGTCAGACAGCGGCATAAAGATGGAGCCAGGATCCAAGTGGAGGCGGAATCCTTCTGACGTGTCAGATGAGTCTGACAAAAGCACATCGGGCAAGAAGAATCCTGTCATCTCCCAGACAGGCTCCTGGCGGCGAGGCATGACAGCCCAGGTGGGCATCACTATGCCAAGGACAAAGCCAGCTGCCCCAGCAGGCACACTGAAGACCTCGGGAACTGGTGAGTTAGACACCATCCGCAATGAACTGTTTAAAAGCTGATGCTATAGTAACCCTAGCAAGGATTTGACTTAACCAGTTACCTCTTTGAATTTGTTCTTTGCTAGGAACTGGCTTTCTTAAATGGGTATGCGTGCCTACAGAGGCCTACTGTTTGGATTAACTTATACATGAGTCTGACTCCTTGCCAGGTGCCAGTTAACCCACAGGGGCAGGCTCCTCATGAGTATGTTGATTCATTGTATGTTGTCCACAATTTAAGATATGTATGTAAACAAGGGTAGGAGCTCACCCAGGAAATGTCAGAGAGAGTGTAATTGGCAGAGAGTGAAAGGTCAGTGAAAAGCAGTGTTTCTCTGCCCCCCACCCCTCTTAGCTGTCTTTGTTTTATCTTGGATCAATTTAGACTGTTTTGCAAATGAATAAAAATGTCGCTGACAGTTACTAAAAGGCTCACAGTGACTGTGGGAGACTAGATTATCTTGGTCTAAAGTTCCCTTCTCCTCCTCCTTACTTCTCCCCCCCATCCCCAGGAAAGAGTCAGCTTTTTTCAGAAGAGGGAAGCATTTTAAAGCTAATCTTCTTGATTTCTCTCTTAGGAAAAACTGATGATGCGAAGGTGTCTGAGAAGGGAAGGCTTTCCCCGAAAGCTTCCCAGGTGAAGCGCTCCCCATCAGATGCAGGCCGCAGTAGCGGTGATGAATCCAAAAAGCCTCTTCCCAACAGCTCCAGAACATCCACCACCAACACCAATAGCTTTGGGTTCAAGAAGCAGAGTGGCTCAGCAGCTGGGTTGGCCATGATCACAGCCAGTGGGGCCACTGTCACCAGCAGGTCAGCTACACTAGGAAAAATCCCAAAGTCCTCTGCTCTAGTTGGCCGGTCTACAGGCCGAAAGACGAGCATAGATGGCACTCAGAACCAGGACGATGGGTATTTATCTCTCAGCTCCCGGACAAACTTACAGTACCGTAGTTTGCCAAGGCCAAGTAAGTCCAACAGCCGAAATGGGGCTGGAAACAGGTCTAGCACCAGCAGCATAGATTCCAACATTAGCAGCAAGTCAGCAGGACTGCCAGTGCCCAAGCTGAGGGAGCCTTCCAGAACAGCCCTCGGCAGTTCTCTGCCGGGTCTGGTCAACCAGACAGATAAGGAGAAAGGGATTTCATCAGACAACGAGAGTGTTGCTTCTTGTAATTCAGTGAAAGTGAACCCGGCTGCCCAGCCTCTGTCCAGCTCAACTCAGACCACTCTCCAACCAGGGACAAAGTACCCAGATGTGGCCTCTCCCACACTCCGCCGGTAAGTGGGCAAATACATGGAACCCAGCAGAGTTGGAGTAGATAGAATGGTACCTCGGGTTAAGAATTTCCTGTTCCATATTTGTAGCAGCCTCTGTGTCTCCTCCATTCAGACCCTGGGTAAAGCTGTTATGTCAATCTCTGCTAGCAAGTTTGTAGTTGGTTGGATGATAAAACACAAACCTGTGTTCAAACTTCTGAGTCTATTTTAATAGCACCATATCACCTTGCTAAATTCTGACTCCATTTCCTTATCTGTATAATGAGAACAATGGTACTTTTTTCTAGATTCTCATAAAAATTCATCTTAGTCATGTCTAGCCATAGTGAGTTCATTTGGTGAAAGTTAGCTATCATCTAAGATGAAGTCTCAGTAAGCTCTTAAATTAAGGATAAATAGCTCAAAGGAAGCAAGTAATTCTTTTCTTTTTCTTTCTTTTTTATTACCTATGAAACAAAAATTCATTCTGGAGACAGAATTACACTTTATCATAATCATTGTATTTTACATCCCATGCATAACTTCAGTTTAGTATCTGATATTTAAAAAAAAAAACTCTTAAAGGAGAACTCTTTCAAAAAGAAGAAAATATTTTCTTGTTACCTGAAGAAGGCATTATTTTCTCACATTACCTAATATGGAAATAAATATTTACTGTTTGTTCATTTTTAACAGTTTTTTTAATATCTTGCCTGTTAACATTTGCTTCATAGAAATCCTTAATGTGAAAGACTCACTTTGTTTTAAAGTTTTTAAAAAACCTTAGCTATTCAAATTATCTTGCTGTTCCCCAGTCCATCCTGAATCATAGTTGTGTAGGTTAGAGTGCATCTTATCTTCCCAGGAAACTTCTTGTCATGGAAAAGAGTAAGCTCCTAGGATGGAAAACTAAGCAGGGGAAAAAAATTATATGCACATGTATATATTTGGGGATGAACAGGAATGTTTGAAAAGACTTCAGAAGAAACATTCCACATGAAAGGTGTGATGAAGCCAGCTGTTCTGTGTGCGTTGTCTAGACTTGATTATTAGAATTCAGTAATGATTATTTTTCAGAGGGGAAGTCCTATTGAACCACTCTTTGTTGTTTTAACAGATTGCCTTGTAAATGAAAATTTTTCTCTGCTTCTTGCCTCAAGTATTATATGTAATATTCTCTCTCCAGTGTTATAGATTTCCTTTGCTGACTACAAAGGCATTTATTGGACCCTCAGGCTAGTGTAATAGGACACATGAAAATGTATGCAGTTCCTTACACACTCCATGGAGGAACTATCAGCCCATTCCCTGTGAAGCTCACTCTCCCTAAATCACCAGAGTGTTCATAACTCACTTGTGTGCATTAGTATGGAGAAGAGAAGCCTTCAGTGAATGAGACAGATAACTCTTCACATGATTTGAAGTACTCACAGAAAGAGACTGTGGTTATACATTAGCAGCATAAGGAGAAATTGCCTAAAAGTCCAGAAAAGATGGATCAGCTTTTGGCTTTTTAACAATTCAAGGTACTCTTTAGTAGTGAGGTTCCTGTCACTGGAAGTATGTATATGTTCTAAAGCAAAGATTCTACAACAGGGTATTTCATTATTATTACCAGGGGAGGAGTATTTCTCCTCTACCACCATATAATGTAGTAGGAATTGGTTGATTAACTATACATTTGCTTGTTTGTCTTTATAACAGTTAAGATTTGTAGACTTATTAGGAGACAACAAGGTTAGATTGATACCACTTCAGGTGAAAGGCAAGCTGCCTATCATGATGTAGTTTTGTCATTTTTCAGATATACTTTTTCTACTCACTAGTTTTGATGGGTGAAATAAAGCCCTTGTATTACTGAAATGTGGTCTACCCTCTGACTTTTCACTAGGGAGTTCCCTGCCAATGTAAGAGGGAGTACTTTTTACCATTCTCTGTACTTATGGCAGACTTGGTCATGAACAGAGGAAAGATGAAGGAAATGGCATTTCTCTGTGTCAATTTTAGACACATGGTTTGTACACAGTATGTTTGAGCTAATGTGAACCTAGCAAACTTTCTGTGTAGGTCACTGGAAAAACAAAACAATAACTAAACTCTCTGGCCCAGAAAGATACTTTTCAAGTTGGCCTTTCCAATGAGGAGAGATTTGTGAAGACACTTTCCCCAGACCCTAACCAGATCTAGAATCATGGTCCTTTTTTTTTTTTTTTTTTCCTAGTCTTGAGGCTTGAACTCATTCTACACTTGAGCCACAGTACCACTTCCAGTATATAGATAAGAGTTTCATGGACTTTCCTGCCCGAACCCACAATACTCAGATCTCAGCCTCCTGAGTGGCTAGGATTACAGGTGTGAGCCACTGGCTCTTGAATAGAATCATGGTCTTGATTCCTTGTGCTGTGCTTAGAAATCAAAGAACCAAATCCCCTAGAGCTCTGTTTACCTGACCTGAGTGACTGCTTTGTGCCCAGGATTATGGATTGAAGATGACTTAGAAATTGTTCCATCTCGATATTTGCTGGGTTAGGGCAATTTTTTTAGTTGGTATATTTATAGGAAGGTCTTGGAGCAGTATTAACAGGCTTATAAAAAATGGATCTCATTTTCCTGGGCTAAAATAGAACCAAAGTCTCAGCTGTAGTCTACAATTTGAAGAAAGCGTCTTTGATACACCTGTGTCCAGTCCCACTTTATGGCCAGCCTTTCCCAGTGGAGTCCCTTAGCTATTTCAGCAACAAAGATTTGTATTATCCTCTTTCCGGGGTTTTACTGCCTCCTATGCACCATCCTTCTTCAATAGCTTGGTGCCATTGGCACTGGGTGTTCATCCCACACAACCCTTTGTCTCTTCACAGACTCTTTGGTGGGAAGCCTACCAAGCAAGTGCCCATCGCCACAGCTGAAAACATGAAAAATTTGGTGGTCATCTCCAATCCTCATGCCACCATGACCCAGCAAGGTAACTTAGAGTCCCCCTCAGGCAGTGGTGTCCTGAGCAGTGGCAGCAGCAGTCCTCTCTACAGTAAGAATGTGGACCTCAACCAGTCTCCTCTAGCCTCCAGCCCCAGCTCTGCCCACTCGGGCCCTTCCAACAGCCTTACCTGGGGCACCACTGCCAGCAGCTCATCAGCAGTGAGCAAGGATGGCCTGGGCTTCCAGTCTGTTAGCAGCCTGCACACCAGCTGCGAGTCCATTGACATCTCCCTCGGCAGTGGAGGAGGCCTGAGCCACAATTCCTCCACTGGCCTGATCGCCTCCTCAAAAGATGACTCTCTGACGCCCTTTGTCCGAACCAACAGTGTGAAGACCACACTGTCGGAAAGGTTGGTACTGTACTCCTGGCTGCTTTTATTACTCAGGAAGAAACTCTCCTCAGGGTACAAAGGTTAGATTAAGAGTCCCAGATGTCACTTAGCCTTTGTTTACAAGATTTTACTCTTTCTAATTACTGTTCTTTCCTGGGTAAGCCAGTTTGGGATGGATTTAGCTTGGCTATACCTCTTGTTATCTTTTTCCTTGCGATTATTCTTGATGCTTGAAGCTGCTAAAAGTCTCTTGGGGGACAAATCTGTGTTACCATTTAGACTGGCAATCTGCTTTTGAAATCCTTCCATTTTATTCTGCTTATTCATCAGCCATTTCTTTCCCCTCCCCTAGTAGTTAGGCAGCATAGGTGACTACATAAAGTCATAGAATGTATGGGTGAAAGCCTACTAGGCAGCTGGATCCATTTGATATCATGGCAAACACTCTCCTACTGAATTGCTGCTGGCTACAGTGAGAGGAGATCACGAAATTGAAAGTCCTCAAGTCCCTGCCGTAGTGATGTTTGTTGTTTCTGCACACGGGGGAGAATGCTGAGATCAGCACTGGGAAATGTTCTGATCATTATGTGTAACAACACCTCTCCTTTCTTCAGTCTAATGTTGCTTCTCTTGTTTTCTACCTACCTGGACTTCTAGCCCTCTCTCTTCCCCTGCTGCTAGCCCTAAGTTCTGCAGAAGTACTCTGCCCAGGAAACAGGACAGGTAAATGACATTGTAGGCTGGGGCCCACCAGACGTCTAGGTTCCTCTGCCTGTCTATTGTCCAGTCAGATGTTTTGTGCAAGGCTGTTGGCCTGAGGCTTCTGCTTGTGTTTGTGGCTCTGGTGTACCGTGTGACAGCCATACATGCTGGTGAGGGTCTACTCTGTTGTCCCCTAAAGCCAAGGGGAGGTGAAGTTGGATGGCCCCTCTTTCCCAGCTTGGAAAAGGCCACCTCAAACCTTGCCACCTGATCCAGGGGCTTCAGAAGCTCTCACTTGCATCTCCCATGGCCTCCTGTGGCATGTTCCTGCTTCCCAGCTTCCTGCCCTTTCCTCCCCCTACCCCAGCCCAGAAATGGTCTACCACCCACTGTGTAGCTTGGCCCTCACCTCTGCCCCCCTCTCCTACCCCTCCACACTCCCCTCGCAGCTGGCTCTTCTCCCTTTCAAAGTTTTTTGCTGCAGTTTGGCTCATTATGTCGTGCAAAATGTCGTGTTGCTTGTGCCCATATCCTGTAATGATAATGAAAAAGAGTTTGGGGAGCCTTTACAGATGAAGAAGCTTGTGTTTGCCCCCAGCTGTGGGTGGGCCTCAGAGATAGATATTGACCTTAAATATGTGGGGGAGCAGTGGTTTGGCCAAATATAACAAGCAGATGTTGTTACATGCTAGGGGAAAAAAAAATAATGGAAGCCTTCTTCACCCTATCAACAGCAAAAGCTTTATTTTTGTCAGACTTACAAACCAAGCCTTTAAACCCTTGTGCATGGAAATCCAAATGCCCCGACTATATTGGCCAGCATGTTGAAACATGCCCTAACTCCAGCCCAGGGCTCAGCTCTTAGCTACATCTTTCCTAGGCAGAAACAAGGAGAACTTGAGAGGGACCTGGAATTTACTTCATTACACATGAATTTCAAATATGCAGACTGTTGGCCTCTTGAAACTCTGCAAACCCCTTCACCCTCTTAAAGCCATTGCCAGTGGTGTGGGAGGGGGTAACTTAGGGGTACAGAAAGTCGGGCATCCCTTTTTGGAAGCAGCTCTGGTCGTGGTGGTGGTGTGGCAGAGTTGAGCTGCTGGGCTGTGCTTCTAACAGGGCAACCCATGTTGCCTTTGAACATGTGGAAAAAGAGGAATAAGTAGAGTTGAGTAACTTGGAGTAACTGACGACTTGGTTGGTAAAGTATGCACTGATGCCAGCTCAGGCCAAGGATTGTTTTTTGTTTTGTTTTGTTTTGCCTACCGATGTGTGTTGCATGCATAGTTGATAAAGAACATTCTCTGGTGATGGGGGGTTTCTTTCTCAGGACCCTCTGCCTCTGTAGCCTTCTCTCCCGTCATTCCCAGCCTCCCTTGTGCTTCTCTGAAGTTCTTGTTTTTGTTTTAACTTTCCTACAGTGACCCGCACCTTGATAGGAACACTTTGCCTAAGAAAGGACTCAGGTATCTGTCCTCTCCTTGTACCCATTGCCATCTGTTGTGGCCTTGAGCTTGGCTGTGTGGCTCTCATAGCTGGTGGGGCTGGGCTGGGGTCTCTGCTTTGGCCATTGCAACAGGACTTTGGATGACAGTTCTCTTGGCCCCTCTTGTTCACATCTCTCATTTGTGGCTTATTTGCTTGAGCAGGAGCTGTGCTGTTTCTGGCTTAATGTGATAAGTCATCTCATGACAAACACTCCTGGGCAAGCCTAAAAAGCAGTCACTGCTTCTGGTGGGGACTAGTGGGTTTAATCACCAAGCACTTCATGATCATTGTATTCATGTGACTGTTTCCAACAGAAAGGACATGACTTATAGCATGCTGATTTGTTAGCCAGGACAAAGGCAAAGGAAGAGAGGATTATTTCCTCTAAATTTAATGATATGTAACTTTTTCAGGGCTGAGAGTGTAGCTTAAGAGAAGAACATTTGCTTAGCATGCATGGGGTCATGTGGTCAACGTACAGTACTGCATAAACAAATGAACTAACTTATTTGGCTCATTAAAAAAAACCCAAGCAAACAAAAAGTATTAAAAAAAAAAAAAAACCAAACAGTCACCAGTGGTTTACTGCTGTCATCCTAGCTACTCAGGAGGCTGAGATCTAAGGGTTACCATTCAAAGCTAGCTCAGGCAGGGAAGTCTGTGAGACTCATCTCCAATCACCACCAAAAAGCTGGAAGTGAAACTATGGCTCTGGTAATAGAGTGCCATCCATGAGAGAAAAGGCTGAGGGATAGCACCTAGGCCCTGAGATCAAGTTCTAGTACTGAAATGAAATTAACTAATAACCTAACATTTAAATGCATTCATGCCAGATTGCTAAAGACAGATACTTTGCACTTGTCTAAATATTCTAATCAACAATAAGTCATCTGATGCTCACCAAGCTACTAGTGTGATTATTTGGGGATTAAAATATAAAAAAGTACACTAGCAAGGAGTGTCTTTCCATTTATAGTAAGTTGTGGCTTGGGCTTGGTTTTGGTGATCAACTTGGTTAAAAACAGGATGCTATAAGTCACTATTGCTCACATCATTTACATCATTTTGTCAAGCAGAGAAACCAAATTTGCTAATGCTCTCTCATGGTCTTACAGTCATTTCTGCTTTCTAAACACCCTGTTCTTTGTAGCATCTGCTTCACCCTGCACTATACATAAGTGCTTTTGCATAAAATGGAACTTGGAATGAAATGTTTCATTGTTGTCATGTATGTCTATAGTTAATAACCTCCAACTCTAAAGACTGAGATAATTTTGAACAGTAATATGAGGTAGGTATCAATGCTTCCTTTCAGTAAGAGCTCGGTGTAAAGCCAATTCTGAGAATCTAAGAAGGAACATATTAAATCTCCCAGTGGACATTCTGTAAGAGGTCTAGTACTGTGCTTCCAGCTGCCAAGGCCTTTCCTACTTAGAGTTTCCATTGTGCTTATGAAGCTACTTGTCAGTAACCATACTAGTTACTTAAACGATAGCCATTCCATTTTACTGTTACCCCAAAAGAAAGATGACTTAATTATTAATATTCTGAAATGATGCGTTTATTTCCATAACAGATCTGTCCTCTCAAAATTGTATGGCTTTGGCTTTAAAAACTTTTTTTTTTAATCCAGAAGGGGCTGAGTACCTGTAGCTTATGCCTGTAATTAGGAGGCTGAGATCTGAGGATGTCAGTCCAAAGCCAATCCAAAAGCCAGTCTAGGCAGGAAAGCCTATGAAAATGTTACTTCCAATTAACCACCAAAAAGCCAGAAGTGGAGTTGTAACCCAAGTGGTAAAGCTCTAGCCTTGAGCAAAATATACTAAAGAATACTACCCAAGCTGGACGCTGGTGGCTCACGCCTGTAATCCTAGCTACTCAGGAGGCTGGGATCTGAGGATCGCGGTTCAAAGCCAACCCGGGCAGGAGAGACCGTGAGACCTCTATCTCCAAAAAAACCACCATAAAACTGGAAGTGGTGCTGTAGCTCAAGTGGTAGAGCGCTCGCCTTGAGCTGAAGAGCTGAGGGACAGCGCCCAGGCCCAGAGTTCAAGCCCCACGACCGA